AAAGGGGCCTAAAACCCTCAGCCAAAAGTGTGCTTTCATGCACAATTCGCTCTGTTTCAGTTTTTCAGGATTCTCAGGATCTTTTTTTTTTTTTTTTTTTTTCGGATTCTCAGGATCTTTAGGGCTGGCCAAAACAGTAATTTCCGAGACCCGAACAAACACCAAACTTGGCACACACAGATCTTGACCGAAGGTAAAACAGGGCAAAAAAAATAAAAAAAATAAAAAAAAAGTTAAAAAAAAAAATTAAAAAAACCTTCAAAAATTATCCCCTAAAAGGCCCAAATGCAGTTTTCAGTGCTGGAGGGGTTTTAACCTGGGGCTGAAAATTGGGGTTCCCTATTACCCCACTTGTGGGCCATGCCAATCCCAAGAGATGAGAGCCAATGATTGTTCTTGTATTGTCTTAATTATTAAATAGTATTTAAATAATGCAGGTTCATAGCTCAAACAATAAAGTACACATTAACTTGAAACCACCAGTACGTCCGAGCCTGTTTTTGCCGACCCTGATTTTCACTGCGCGCTGACTTTTGCAGAGCTTTGGTCCCGTTCTGCTTTTCTTTCTGGTCCTCTTGGGAAAAAAAAAAAAAAAAAAACTCTGCGTTGAAGCTTTGATAAAAAACAAGAAAAACAAGGAGAAACAACCATTTGGACACGTAATAGCAGATGTATACAGAAAGTACAGTACTTGTGTGAGTGTGCCCTCAGCGAGGGCGTCACAGAGGCACAGTCAAGTCCACGACATAAGGAAAGGAAAAAAAATAAAAAATGAAATTGTTTTCAGGGCGGGAAAGCGGGTTGGTGCATTAACAGTAGTAGTCTTTATGAGCGTGCCCTCCGTGACGAACGTCGGCATCGCGTAGAAAGCGCCCTGCCTCAGTGGCAGGCCAGTGTAAAGAAACAAAAGAAGAAAAAGTAAAACACAAAGTTCACAAACAACAAAAATGAAAGTGGCCTCAATATTAGTCACATACATCGTTGGCAGTTTTGATACGAGCTGTACATCCTCCACGGCCTTTCCCGATATCTTTCCCGGGTTCCTGGCTGGCGAGTTCTTCCTTTTTATATTTCATGCGGGCCCACAAGGTCCTTGTTGCCGAGCCTCCGCCGACCCACGAAAACTTGGGGAGAAATTTCCCAAGAGTGAGCGAGGTAGTACTGGTTTGCAAAAAAAATAAAAAAAAATAAAAAATAAAGTACAATAAATATTAAATATTACATAAAATAAATAAATAAATCAATAAAATAAAATAAAATAAAATAAAATAAAATAAATAGGATAGAATTATATCTTTCAACAACAACAACAAAAGAATCAATGACAGATCGATTTGTTCTGGTGCCAAACATTTCGGTGCTGCAAAAAGGGTCCGCCATACTGATGCATGCTTCCATTCTGAAAAATCACAGGACCCATTCGTTAGTTGAGTGACCTTGTTGGTGGACGACCGCCTTGCAGTGACAGGCTGAATCATAGGATCAGTGACACGGTGAAGGGATAGGTAAAACAGTACTAAAAATAGTAAAAAATAGTAAAAAGAAATTAGTTCAACGTACTGTTCAGGTAATGGTAACCACCGTAACAAGTTGCCAAATGGACAAATGGATGCGTTAGTAAAGGGGTGGGGAAAAAAAAAAAAAAAAAAAGGAAAGGGGCCAGGAAAATGGTAGTTGGTGGAGAGGTTGATGTGTAGCATATGAAGGGAAGAGGATCGTTTAACCTATCGTCAAGTTCTTTTTTTTTTTTTTTTTTTTTTTTTTTTTTTTTTTTTTTTTTTTGTGAAAGGCGTCATAGGAGGGCGACACTTGAGAGAGTGATAAGAGCACAAAGCTCCCTCAAGTGGTCCCTCGGGTGAAGGCTCCGTCTATATTGGTGGGGAGGAGCTGCGCCTGCTGGAAACCGGGTCCAGCGTCCCAATTATTACGCTATCGTCCTGGGTGCGGGCCTTCGCGTACTGCTTTAGGACCCATTTGTTCCTCTGCTATAATTGTTGCAATTGTTGCTGTGTTCCTCCTTCCTCCTCCCCTCTCGCTCCGTCATTGACTTTTTGTCGCATCGTTCACGTCGTTGACTTTTTTGTCGCGTCGTTCACATCGTTGACTTTTTGTCGCGTCGTTGACCTTTTGTCGTGTCGTTGACTTTTTGTCGCGTCGTTCACATCGTTGACTTTTTGTCACGTCGTTGACTTTCTGTCGCGTCGTTGACCTTCTGTCACGTCGTTGACCTTTTGTCACGTCGTTGACTTCTTGTCGCGTCGTTCACGTCGTTGACTTTTTGTCGCGTCGTTCATGTCGTTAACTTTCTGTCGCGTCGTTGACTTTCTGTCGCGTCGGTGACTTTTTGTCGTGGAGGCAAAGGGATTATTGTTCAACCTCTAGCCAGTGAGGGGATTAGTGAAAAGACACATCTAGACAGTGAAGGGATTAGTGAAACACTGAAAAGAAACCTCTAGAGAGTGAAGGGATTAGTGAAAAGAACTTCTGATGAATCAAATGACTGTGAAGGTAATAGTAACAAGTTGCCAAAGCGGCAAATGGACGCATTAACGAAAAAAGGATGAGGAAAATGATAGTTGGACAGGTGCGCTGTCCCAAAAACTAAGGGAAGGGGGGGATACTTGTAAGGTAATATGATATAGCAGTAATAAGTGGGCGAACCGACGAATGGACGCATTACGAAAAAGAAGAAAAGGGTGAGTAAAATGATAGTTGGAGTGCTTCGCTGTCTGTAAAAAACTCAGGGAAGACGATTGTCTAAGAGGGGATATATTTGGAAGCCAAGCGGGATTAGGCCGCCGTTTATAAATTTCATCGGCGGCCCGTTTTCCATCTAGGATCGTCTAAAGAAACTACACTTCAAACTAGAGGTTAACTACAAGATCATTTAGCCTAAAAAAAAAAAAAAAAAAAAAAAAAAA